TTGATTGAGAGAACACTTTTAAATGATTAAATATTATAAGAAGTAACACTCTGGTGAAATTTATTGTGGTGACATTGATTAATAAAAGTATATAGGCTTCAAAATATATAATTCTAAAATATATCATATGTATATTGAATTGTGTGTTCATTACCCAAAGTCAACTCTCTTTCTGTTGCTGTTTATTCCCCTTTACTCTCTTCTACCTCTCCCCAGCCCTCTTTTCCTTCTGGTAATCACCATAGTGTTGTCTGGGTCTATGAAGTGGGATTCTTTCTTTCTTTCTTTCCTTCCTTCCTTTCTTTCTTTCTTTCTTTTTTTTTTTCTTTCTTTATTCCTTCACATTTTCTCAGTCTCTTTTGCTTAGTCACTTTCCTTTACCATAGAGGACTGCTCTGTATAGTTGTGTAAGTTGTAAACTGCACACATTAGGGGATGCTGTTTATGCAAACTACCTCATGAATGATGTCCCCAGAATCCATAGCATACACACTTAGCACAATTCTCCATGTTGACCCTTATTACCAACACCAGAACACATTTTGTTTGAAGCACATAGGAACATTATATTTTGGTGTGTGGTTTAAGGTAAATAATAGAAGTATGGTTAACCAATACTGAAACTAAACCACAACAGCAATAATGCTATACTTGGAAAGAAAAAATATGTCTTAAGAATCAATAGGAAATGTTTGATTTCTGAACATTTTTCACCTAACTAAAATTTTGAATCAAGTTGATCTGGCTTGAAAAAGAGTTTTTCTTCCTCCCTTTATTATACCTTTTCAAAGCAGCAGACTGAGGTAAATAGTAAATCTCTCAATTGAAAGTCAATTGAGCTGCTTGAACCTTTCACCTTTCTCCCCAAACAACATGAGCTTTAGCACCTGCTCCAGCTTCTCCACAAAGTACCGGACCATGAGCTCTGTGCAGTTAGTTGCCAAGCCATCGGGCCCAGCCAGCCAGCAGCCTGTCCAGTGTCTATGCAGGTGCTGGGAGCTCTGGCTCTCAGATTCCTATGTCCCACTCCACCAGCGTATGGGGCAGCTAGGGGCCTGAAGGGTTGGCTTCTGGGATGTCCAAGGAAGGTTATAGGTATCATCCAAAGTGCGAAGGAGACTATGCAAAATGCCTGAATGATCAACCTGCCTCCTAACTGGAGAGGGTAAGGAGGCTAAGGCTGATAATCAGAGACTAGAGAGCAAAATCTGGGAACACCTGGAAAAGAAGGGACCCCAAGTCAGAGCCTGGGGGCATTATTTCAAGACCATTGAGGACCTGAGGGCTCAGATCTTTGCAAGTTCAGTGAACTAAGCCCACATCACTCTCCAGATTGACAATGCCTATCTTGCTGCTGATTCCTTCAGACTCAAGTATGAGATGGAGTTGGCCATGCACTGGTCTGTGGAGAGTGACATCAATGGGTTTCAAAGGCAGTGTGATTGATGATGCCAATATCACTCCGCTCGGCTGGAGACAGAGATCGAGGCTCTCAAGGAGCAGCTTCTCTTCATGAAGAAGAACCACAAGGAAGTAAATGGTCTATAAAACCAGACAGAGATCGAGGCTCTCAAGGAGCAGCTTCTTCTTCATGAAGAAGAACCACAAGGAAGTAAATGGTCTATAAAACCAGATGGACAATTCTGGGTTGACGATGGAGTTGGAGTTGAATGCCCTAAATCTTAGGACCTCAGCAAGATCATGGCAGATATAAAAAGCTGGCCCAGTATAAAAAGCTGGCTCAATCTGGTCCCAGTAAATTGAGGTGAGCATCACAGTGGTACCTTGCAGACCACTGATTTAGGTGCTGCTGAGACTGGTCATGAAGCTGAGACATATGGTCCAGTCCTTGGAGGTCAACCGGGACTCAATAAGAAACCTTAAAACCAGCTGGGAGAACAGCCTGAGGGAGGTGGAGACGGGCTATGCCATGCAGATGGATAGCTCACTGGGATCCTGCTGCAGCTGGAGTCAGACCTAGCCCCGCCACGGGCAGAGGGGCAGCACCAGGCCCAGGAGTATGAGGCCCTGGTAAACAAGGTCAAGCTGGAGGCCAAGATCACCACCAACCAGTGCCTGCTGGAAGAAGAGGAGGACTTCAACCTTGATGATTCCCTGGGCAACAGCAACTCTATACAATTCCATCCAAAAGACCACCACCCACAGGATTGTGGGTGGCAAAGTGCTGTGTGAGGTCAAGGACACCAAAGTTCTGAGGTGTTAAGGCAGCAGACGTGGAGCACCCCTTGCGGAAACAGGAGGCCAAGAAGAAGTTTATATTATTGGGGAGTGGGAAGAAAGTCATTTGGCAAGTTGAAGAAAAAACATTGCAGATTACTAACCCATCCTACCTATTGGACATATAAGAAGCAACAACTAACATCTACATGCATTATGGAGATAAAGAAGAGCTCCCTGTTTAACTAAATTAATGGCAACTTGCCTAAATAAAGTCATTGAAAAATATAATTCTTTTTATTTATCATATCCCCAAACTGGAAAGACCCCACATATCTATCAGCAGGTGAATGTATCTACAATTGATAAGTTTAACTCTACAGTGAAATACTATTCAGAAAAAGAAAAAATGCACTATTAATATACACTACCATATGGATGAATCTCAAAATTATTATCCTGAGTGAAAGAAGTCAGCCAAAAAGTTTCACTATATGATCACATTTATATCAACTTCCAGAAAAAGCAAACTTAATCTATTGTGACACAAAGCAGCAGGTCGGTGGTGGCCTAGGAGGAGGGGAAAGGCAGGAGAAAGAGATGACAAAGGGACATCAGGAAACTTAGGGAATGGGTAGGTATGTCTATTATTTTGATTGTGGTTGTGGTTTCATGGGTGTATGCATATGTCAAAATTTATATTGTATATCGGTTATACCTCAATAAAGCTGTAAAAAATTTAAAGAGAAAAGGATGCACAATCTCTGCACATCTGAAATTAATTTATGCAGCTTTTGATCTGTATAATATCAAAAAGTGAAACAGCGCAAGAGTAAACGTCTTTGCAGGATAGCAGTGAAAATGTCATCGAAATGTTACAACAAGATTCATAAAACCAGGTGGCATTTTAAAAATGCAAACAAATTCCTTCTCTTTCTGGCTGCATGCTCCATTCTACCTTTAAAGGAAAGTGTATGTCTTGTGCTTGCTTGCTCCTTAACCAGAAACAACACAACAGTACTTGACATATTGCCCATGTGTGACTCCTTGAACCGGTTTGGGTTCAGAAGTTCAGTGCCTCCGCTTACGTAACAGAAATTCATTCCAAACTCAACTCTGACAACACTTAGGAGCAGCATCCCTGTGCTTTTTGTGGCTGTGTCAACTAGCCTATCTCTGATGCAGGTTCACGCTGCATTTCCTGCAGCCCGTGACCACCGTCCCACAACCACACTGCCTTTGTCTGAGAAACACTTAAGGAGAGGGTAAGACAGCCACTAGCTTCAAAGAACAAGAAGCGGCAACGCCTGCTGCGACTATTTATTGCCTTCGTCTCAGCTCCTAGTACACCTGTGTACACGGTGCAGGCATCGTGACTTCTTGGTGACTGATATTGCTGAACTTAACTTACACATTTACTTAACCTACAAACAAAACAAAACAAGGAGGGAACCACCTGCTGCAATACTTAGAGATCACTGGGCGGACGCACAGTGTGTGAATTATCCTCCTCAGGATTTGAATTGCTCTTGGCAGGCACCCAGGGAGTGATTAAGGTCCGCATTTATTGCTGAACTTTGGCACAACATGCTCAATGGATTGGTGGTGCTCTGGGACTTGTTAGTTGGGTGGAGATGAGCACGCCTCAAGCAGAATAATTGAACATTATTAGCATGACTTTTGATAGTAATATCATTACAGTAATCAAGGATCGCTGTCTCTTGACTCAGAAATCATGGATTTTAAAAATGTGAATATGAGTTATTTCAAGGAATTAGATTTTTAAAAATGAAATATACAAATAGCTGTAGCTAAAAGGCTTACTGTTGATAAGATGGAGAATTTATAAATAGGAGATAGGCTTGATAATAATAGTTACTATAGTAAAATGAGTTTTTCTTGCTGTTTTATTGGGGGGGGGGACAGGGGGAGAAGGGAAGAATTGGACTAGAAGGTAGGGGAGAAAAGATGCTATCCATGCTATAGCATTGCTTTTTCTCCAGACCATGAATTTAATTATATTTTTGATTAGCTCCTATTGCCTACATGTGGAAAATTAATCAAATTCTAAAATTGTTTGAATTCTGTACATGATTATGAAAGGAAATGAATTAAAACCATAGATACTCTAAATTCCACTTAAGCAATTTAAGCCTCTTCAGCCATTTGGAAACCTTCAAAAATATAGACTATGTACTTTAAAAAACCCAGGCTTAAAGACTGAAAATGAGATGGTAATTTAATAGATTTAAAGTCGATTCTCTCAAAGTTTTAGATAACATTGACTTCTCTTGACAGAAAGTCAGGGAGACAGAAAAAGTTATATATTGCTTTTGATTGCATCCCTCAGCTGTATCTTACCTACAGTGCATTCTGGGCAGTGCAGTAGATAGAGATAATGGAAGGAGTAACCATGCTAAGATGAGTGAGTTCTACAAAGCCGTCTGGTGATTATTTTAGTGTATTTTCTAGATTAATTTAAAAATGAACAGGCGGCCAAAACCGGTTTGGCTCAGTGGATAGAGTGTTGGCCTGCGGACTGAGAGGTCCCAGGTTCGATTCCGGTCAAGGGCATGTACATTGGTTGCGGGCACATCCCCAGTAGGGGGTATGCAGGAGGCAGCTGGTCCATGTTCCTGTCCCATCGATGTTTCTAGCTCTCTATCCCTCTCCCTTCCTCTCCGTTAAAAATCAATAAAATATATTTTAAAAAATAAAAAAAATAAAAATGAACAGGCACAAAGTATTCATTTGCATAACAATTATTGGATTTCATCTGCTTATTGTTTAATAAAATTGTTTAAATTTGTTGTTTGTTTCAGGACTCATGCCAGTTGCACAACAGCCTGTTTATTGCGCTTCAAAGCATGGCATCATTGGATTCACACGCTCAGCAGCGGTGAGGATGTAACAACCACAATTTCTCCTTTTCTCTCTGTATATATGTGTAGCATGCATTCTACATAGTCGAGGGGAATAAATTAAGAATTCAGTGCATCTGCCGAAACCGGTTTAGCTCAATGGATAGAGCGTCGGCTTGGGGACTGAAAGGTCCCGGGTTTGATTCCGGTCAAGGGCATGTACCTTGGTTGCGGGCATATCCCCAGTAAGGGGTGTGCAAGAAGCAGATGATCGATGACTCTCTCTCATCGATGTTTCTAACTATCTCTCTCCCTTCTTCTCTGTACAAAATCAATAAAATATATTAAAAAAAAAAGAATTCAGTGTATCTGAGTAAAGAAAGAATATTATAGTTCAGTCTTTATTATTAAAAAGCTAGAGGCCCAGTGCACAAAATTTGTGCACTCAGGTGGTTCCTCAGACCAGCCTGCACCCTCTACAGTCCAGGAGCCCTCAGGGGATGTCTGATTGACAGCTTAGCACTGCTGTGGAGGCTGGAGAGGCGCCCACCACTGCTGCTGTGCTCACCAGCCATGAGCCCAGCTTCTGGCTGAGCAGCGCTCCCCCTGTGGGAGCGCACTGACCACCTAGGAGCAGCTTCCGCATTGAGCAGTGCACATCATAGCAACCAGTCATTCTGTCATTCAGTCAATTTGCATATTCATCTTTTGTTATATAGGATAGTTTTAGATCACATAAAAGACCAAATAAAGGTGAGCATATTGAGAGCTCTGCAAGGTCATCACAGACTTTCTCCCCCTTCATGGTGGCTTTTGGGGTTTCCTTGACAACGTGCACATTGCTTTTTCAGCTATTATTGTACAGTCAGTACTATGAATTTCTGTTTTGAATTTTTTTTGTAACTTTGTAGCATTTTAGATAATGTGTTTATACTTTGTTGTGTAGAGTAAAAGAATTGTGTTGAATAAATCTACGAATTAAATGCAAAAAAAGAAAAAGAAAAAAAGAACAGATCATTTTATTTTTTAAAACATTTTTACTGATTTCAGAGAGAAAGGGAGAGGGAGAGAGAGAAACATCAATGATGAGAGAGAATCATTAATTGGCCACCTCCTGCATACCCCTTACTGGAGATTAACCCGAAACCTGGGCATGTGCCCCTGACTAGAATCAAACCTGGGACCTGGACACGGGTCCCTGGCCAGAATCGAACTGGAGTCTGAACGATAGCACTCTATCTACTGAGCCAAACCAGTTAGGGTAAGAATAGGTGATTTTAAAATGAAGTAGATTCTGAACATAGATGAGTTATTAAAAAATATTCTAAGACTAAATAATGGGAAAATAGTTTTTAATTTTAAAATTTACTTCAAATCTAAAGAGTATTAACTTCAGCTTTCCTTAAAGAGAATTTGCAGTGTGCTCCAGCCATTACCTGTCACTGTGTGAGAACATAGGGATGAGCAGAAGGGGTGGGGTAGGATTCACTGAGTAGTCAAGGAGGATGTCTCCATGGAGCCCTAGCATGTAAAGTGTACACAGCTTTAAAAAAATTTTTTAGACCTAATTGACCATGTGCATTGACAATGCAGCTGCATGGCTTAGTGATTGACCTACGAACCAGGAGGTCATGGTTTGATTCCCGATCAGGGCATATGCCTGGGTTGTGGGCTCAATCTCCAGTTTGGGGAGTGCAGGAGGCAGCCAGTCAATGATTCTCTATTATCATTGATGTTTCAATTTCTCTCTCTCTCTCCCTCTGAAATAAAATTTTAAAAAAAAGAAATGTAAAATGCCTTTCATAATAACTGGGGGGAAAAGGTAGCTTGGATGAAGCTAGATAAGCAAGGGAAAGTAGGATGAGAAATGATTAAAAATGTAACAAGAACTAGATCAAGAGGGTTTATGTGTTGTAGAGAGATTTTATTGAAGTGAAACCATCAATGTATTTTTTACACATAGGAGTGACAAGATCAGATTTCCATTTCTACAAGATCACTCTGACTGCTATTTAGAAAATATGTTGAGAGGACAAATATAGAAGAGATGAGGAAATTGGGAGGTCTCTGCAGTGGTTAGTCTAGATGAGATATAGAGAGAGTCCAGACAGATGAAGAGAAAAATATTAACAACAGAAGAAATACTAGGATAAAGAAAACAGATGTGTGACCAGAAAATTTTCAATCAGAAAAGATAAGAAGCTCTCACAATCCTAATTTAAATTCACTGGAAATTTAATTTGCCAGGCTTAATCTTTAACTCAACTTTGAATGAACACATAAAAGTATTAAAAATAAAAATAAAAGACCAGAAATCTCATATTTACAATTACAGTACTTGGAACTTATACAGTCAACTCTTATTTCTGCTGGGTATGGTCTATAAGGTCACTTAAACACTGAATTAGAATTTCCTTAGAGCCTCTGGTCACATTTTGGTCAATTAATACATATATGAATTTCTGTGTAAAGTTTTATGTGAATTTCTGTTTAAAGATACCTTACTTAATATGTATTGTATTGATGTATTGTATTCACTATACCTCACGTTTGAGTGAAGCTCATCTGACACACGTATTTTCTCTGTAAGGCCTGCTTGGGAATACGAGTCATCAATTCAGCAATATGCTTGGGTGAAGGGGCATTTTAAGTAGCAAAATCACAAACAAAAAGCACAAAAATAAGAAAACATGGACTAAATGCACTGTGAAAGGGAAACTTATTTATAGTTAGAAGAACTGAAACAAGAAAACAGACTATTATTCTGTTGAATCTCAATTGGAACATTGGCATTGGGCAACTCAAGTTTCTCACTGCTCTGTGGCTTGTCCACAAATGACCCCAGAAGCTCTAGGGAACTTGGGGATTACAGATTAACTTTACCAAGTAAGAAAATGGAATCCCCAAATAATCAACTACATTTTGTTTTACAGCTCTAGTTCCAATAAATCAATGGGGTGAAAATTAAGCCAAAGATTGTCAGTCTGAAAATACTGAAATTTGTCTTCTAGATAATTGAGTATCTTTAGAATCAATCAAAGTCTTAAAACTTTCCACTAGCAGTATTATTAATCAACTATTCTGTTATACAACCCTAATCTTTGAAAGAAGCAGTGTTCACTAGATAAGAGCAGTTTAGATAATTAAGCATTTTTCAAGGGTTTGCCAGTAATATTCATTTTAAAAATTTAATTAGGTGAGGTTTTCTGGAATTAATTCAACACTTTAGATACATATTCTTTTACTTTCTGCTATGAACCAACTTTAATATTGTCATTTTTATAAAGCCAGAAGGATATCTATCTAAGTATTTTTCACATCAGAGCCTTTGAATAGCTTTAATTATCAGTTTTTCCTATGCTGTGCATTTGCAAGATTAACAAAAACTGACACTTTCTTCTTCCAATTGGCAGATGGCTGCTAATCTTATGAACAGTGGTGTGAGAATAAATGCCATTTGCCCAGGCTTTGTCAATACGCCCATCCTTGAAACCATTGAAAAAGAAGAAAACATGGGACAATATATGGAATTTGCATGCCATATCAAGGATATGATGAAATACTATGGGATTTTGGAGTGAGTAAAGCTATACCTTTTTTAATTTGATGCAGCAAAGCACTATCTATACTAAATAATAGATAATATGCAAATTGGTCAGGATGCCCTCACATTAACTACTGAACAGCAGGCTACATGGGGCTACAAGGCCAGCAGGTGGATTAGAGAGGGACGACCAAACAATTGAATAGCAGACTGCACGGGGCAACCAGGCCAGTGTGCGGGAGCAGTTAGGGGCGACCAGGCTGGCAGGGGGGGGCATGAGGTGTGACCAGGTTGGCAGGGGGGGGCATGAGGTGTGACCAGGTTGGCAGAGGGTGGCATTAAGGGGTGGCCAGGCCAACAGAGGGAGGCCATCAGGGGCAACCAGGCCAGTGGGGAGAGAGGCAGTTAGGAGCCAGCAGTCCCAGATTGTGAGAGGGATGTCCGACTGCTAGTTTAGGCCTGATCCCTGAGATTGAGCCTAAACTGGCAGTTGGACACACCCAAGGGGTTCTGGATTGGAGAGGATCCAGACTGGGCTGAGGGGACCCCCTCTGTGCACAAATTTCATACACCGGGCTTCTAGTCTACATATAAACAATAAAAAGGGGGAAGAGGAATAAAGTTTTAAAGTTGAGAAACTAATGCAAACTTCAAAGTTTGGTTTTGGCATACTCTGTGAAAGAAAATATCTTTTCTGGGTTTCTGAATATAATGTGTTTATACATTATGAATTTTGCTTAAAGATATAGACAATGCATTATTAATACATTTAGCCACAATCAGGCATAGTGTGAAAAGGTGATGTTTAGTTATCTTTGGAAGCAGTGATTCCTTATCAGCCTAAATTCCAAGCCATATTTACTTATATTTTTTGTGAAATTTCATATGGCCCTTGAACTTGAATCATTTTTATACTAAACAATGGATTAACACACGTGTTTGGTGAACAATGTCTGAATTAGAGCAGTCAGATTTCACAGTCATAGCTATCATGCTGATGGAATCAGACCATCTGGGATCAGATCCTGACTCCAGTTATGACCATGAACTTTTCCATCAAGCTCAGTTTTCTCACATGCAAAATGGGGATAATATTAAAACAAACTTAGAGGATTTTTGGAAGTTCACAAATAAGTGATCCATCTAAACTACTTAAAACAGCAACAGATTCAATAACAGACATGCAATAAATGTTAGCTATAATTCTTTCTATTTTCACTCTAATAACATTTCTGTCTGATAAGTCTAAGATGTACTGGTAGGATAAAGATGAGAAAATAATAATTTTGTCAATGTAAATAATAAACATTCATAAATCTTTCCTATCAAAATGATAGCAGGTTAAGGCTTGGACATCTACTAGTTAACTTATCATATAACTTAGTTAATATCTAATTGAATAAAACATAAAGAAATGTTTATCAGCTCCTTGATAAATATTCACTTATTACATTTTAAAGGTAATAAATTATTCAAAAGTAACTAAAAGATAAAGTGAAAACTATACCTTCATCTTTAGTTTAAAGCACCAGTGTTTCCTTTCCTTTTAGCCCATCAACGATTGCCGAAGGATTAATAACACTCATTGAAGATGATGCTTTAAATGGCGCTATTATGAAGATCACACATTCTAAGGGAGTTCATTTTCAAGACTATGAAGCAACTCCACTTCCTGTAAAAAATCAGTGAACATCTTATATATCAGCCGTAACTGAAAATAAGCACAAGTGACTTGTCTTCAGACCATATCTTCATTTGAATACGACTTTCAAAGTGAAATGTTAATGTAGGACACTTTCCTTCATGCATTTGATGTTTATTTTTTTCCTAAATGATTGGTTAAATATATAGATAAAAAAATTAGGAACTGTCAAAAATATGCTGTGAATCAAAGCTAGATTTTGATCCTATGGTCTAGATGTAATGATTAAAACAAAGGATTTTCAAGGAATATTCCACTTTTCAAAAAAATGTATTTAAATTTGTGGTTCATAAATACTGTTTTTCAGAACATCATTTTAAAGGGGATACTTGAATTGTTATTTAAATCAAACCAGATGTAAAAAAAAAAAATACACGCCTCATTTTGTTTCCATATTAAAAGAGGGAGGTCGCTGACAATGGCAAATTTTTAGTAACAATAACTTTTCCTTACACACCAGCTTTCAGCTGAACACCTCAGCTTTTATAGTTGTAGCATATTTAGCAGCAGGAGTTAAGGAATAAATTACAGTGTGCATACAATCCTAACTGAAAATCTGATGTACAGAAAGATGTCAGATCATAACTGGCTGAGTTGCTGATCCACCGTTCAGCTTCCCATCTGGGAAAAGCATTTTTTACCCTCCTTGCTTAGTTTAAAAACTTTAATTGAGTCCAAAAATCTCAGGAATGAAATTTGTAATAGCTACAGCAGAAAAGATAGTTAGTGCTCCCAGAGTGTTATATTTAACATACAGATGTAATTTTTTTCAGACTACTTTTCATTTATTTTTACTAATTTCAAAAGTGCCTTCCTTTCAATGAAACTCCCCCTCCCCCATTTCCAGAAGTTGCTTAGTGTTCTATGTATAGCTAAGAGAAGTCAATTTGTTGCAGCTTCAACTGTAAATGTTTTTGAATGCTCAGAGCCATAATCACAAGAGGTAAAAATAGCTGAGGTGTATTTCTGTTTTCCCTGTCAGGTCTTTTAAGATGGGATCATTAAGTGCACCTGCTTTGGGTAACCCTATTTACAAGCAATAATTAAAGCTAATAATAGTGAAAGCACAAGATTTCTAATTCAATCCTTTCCTCTTATAACTTATACAAAATGCAAAATGTAAATGTTGTATGAGTGATTCACTGTGTCTGCTGACTCCAGAGCTCCCATCTTGGAACAAAATGTATCCACTTGAGATTAATAAATATTTCCTGGAGGTCCTGAAGTGTTGCCATATCCTGCTCTGTTTTAATTCTGCTATAGAGTACAAGTGGCCTTCACTTTCAAAAGGGAATTTGAATATGAGTAACTGTTGTCTAGATCTTCACAGAATGTATTTTAAAAACCACCAAGAAATAAACATCAGTGAATGTCTAATAGAGATAAGTTGTATAATTAGCAAAACTTTGTTCGTACCTTATGGCAGTGACCAATCAGTGAGTAATGTGGGTACTATATGTGGTATGTCACTTATTGTGTGTATTTTTCCACTGTGATGTTTAAAGTTGTAGCTTAAGCTTTCTTTTTATGGATAATTCTTTGTATTGCTAGCCTTCAGTATACTTTGTACTTTGATTTTTTTTCAAATTAATAAACTATGAAGACATTTACAACTGAGTAGAACTAAAAAAAAATGTGATTTATTTTTAAAATTTTCTTTTACATTAAAATATATCCTCTATAAATAGTTTTAAATAAATCGATAATGTTATGTGATAGCTCTATATGATGGTTGAGGAAAAACATAAATATTAAATTGGGGGGAGGTTTAGTTCCCTTATTTGTATTTTTCAGTGAAAATCCTAATGTGACTAATATATATTTTTAAAATGTCTTTCTCCTATAAAAGAAATAGAGCTCGCAGAGCAGCAAAACTAAAAATGTGTGTGGACACTGAAAAAAGATTGAGATTTGCTATTGACATTGAAATGTCCAACAAACTTCTTTTTCAATATGACAATACTCTTAGATACTTAAGTATAATACCATTTAAGATACAAGTGATGATGATTGTAAATGATTTCCATCTATGCTTTATTTATTCATAAATTTAGGACGCAGAAGAGGTCTGAAAATGTACATTTTTAATAAAATCTAAAGTCATTCATATACTAAATATCATTTGATGGGTAGCTTTTTTCTTACATTAGAATTTCAAAAGGCACATTTACTGGTGCACTGGAAAAGGTGATTGGAGCCAAGGTCACAAGGGATGTCATCCGTTCTCCATCTCTGTCCTCTGGTTGGCTTCCCTCCTAGGCAGCTTTCTTCATATACGATGCTTCCAGGAGCTACAGCCTGAACCTCTCCAACCTCCAAACTGGCAAAACAAGAGCTTGTTTTTGGCAACAGGGCTTATTTGCCTTTCTTAGCTTATGTGCAAATTACTGAGACATTCTGTGTAGTCAGAGAGATACCAAACAACATGTCTTCCCCAGAGCTGGTAGAATTGGAGGATACTGAGGGACACGAAACATGGTCTGGAAAGTTTTCTTAGTCCAAAAGGCTTGCATCCTATGGACTAAGAAAAGGAGAGGAATAATTTTCAAGAGGAAAATGATGCTGCCATTACCAGAACAAAAACCAGAGATAACCTCTGTAGAGGAAGACAGAGTGAACAACGGATTCGTTAGGCCTTAATCTTTTAGATAAATTTTCACAGACTATTGGGGTTCCTATAACATGCCTAAATCCATATGTATCACGTTGGATAGGATACGACAGAAGAAAATGAATAAAAAATGTAGCAGGCATACATGTTCTTGCTCATGCATATACGTTCATGCTCATTCTCCACGTAAAATATATTTCTTATTGTGGGCCCAAGCGAAAAAGGTTCAAAAGCTACTTATTTTAACATTGACTGCAATCGCTGCCTCTAGACATCCTTCATTTCTGAATTTCTGACGGTTACCATTTTAATTCTCTAGTTCCATTCAAACTTATTAGCACCACTTCTAATTCTTTTTACTAAAATTACATCATCAGCATGTAATTACACTAAATTTTAATAGGGCTTTGTAAGTTTAACTTTGAACCATTAAACTATGCTCCATCCCCAGTTTTAAAATAACACTGACACACATATATTCATTCGTTCAACAAATAATTATTGAGCAATTTGGGGGCAAAATTTATATACAAAAGTTTTTTTAGTATAGGGTGTCTTACATAAATTTTAGTGCAGACACATACTGATTAAGGTCTGATCTGGAAAATGGCACTGACGTCTGAAAGAATCTGTTGCTTACAAAAGTATTAGAGCCTGGCCAGTGTGGCTCAGTGATTGAGCATTGACTTGTGAAGCAAAAAGGTCCCTGGTTGGATTCCTCATCAGGGCACATGCCCCGGTTGCAGGCTCGATCCTCAGTAGGAGATGTGCAAGAGACAGCCAATCTCTGTTTCTCTCTCATTGATGTTTCTGTCTAGCCCTCTCCCTTCCTAGCTCTCTCAAATTAATTTAAAAACACTTTTAAAAAGTATTAGAAGAGAACTAAAGAGCCAAACATGGAATGATGGCATAACCCATTGTCAACTGGGAAACAGAAATAACTAGGTATTCCATCGCTGAAAATGATTTATTCAGAAAAAAACAAGGGATTGCAATCCAGGACATGCAGACATGGGGAGTCACTTGCACACACTGCCCCCAGACAAAGATGCAGAAGGAACGGATAGAAAGGAAAAGAAAGCCGAAACCGGTTTGGCTCAATGGATAGAGCGTCGGCTTGGGGACTGAAGGGTCCCGGGTTCGATTCCGGTCAAGGGCATGTACCTTGGTTGCAGGCATATCCCCAGTAGGGGATGTGCAAGAGGCAGCTGATCGATGACTCTCTCTCATCGATGTTTCTAACTCTCTATTTCTCTCCCTTCCTCTCTGTACAAAATCAATAAAATATATTAAAAAAAAAAAAGAAAGAAAGTCGAGAGGAGGGGTGGTTACAGCCACAGAGCTCTATTGTAAACACTGAGTTCCTCCTATACAGTTCTCATGACGACATAGACTGCTTTTATTTAAAATTATACAGGATGGCCTATTAAATGCAATCAGGCAATGAAAGGAAATGGCAATGTAAAAATTGGAAAGGAAAAAAACTATCATCATTTTTAGTGGATGAGACTATTAATACATAGAGTGTCCTCAAAAAATATATACACACTTTGAAGGATTATAAAGTCAGTGTTTATTAACATACAGTTCATTTTCAAAATTTAAAATTATCTACAGAAATGAATAAATTTTGGGGGGTCAATGACTGCTTTTAAGTCAATGACCATTCTGGTCCAGGCCCTGCTGGTAATGTGAAGCAATGGAATTGCAAACACCAACAATCATTTTGTTTGGTATTTGTGGGGCCTCAGTTCATCAACTATAACTGGTTTTGTACCATAAGCTTTATCGTTTATGTATTCCCATAAAACAGTCTAGTGAATAAATTTCCTTTGTTCAAAGCTTAGTATGGCTTCAGCCATTGTTTAAATCAGTTAAATCTGGAAAGGAGTGAAAATTGAGTTATCAGCTTTTAAAGTGTGTATACATTTTGGGGGTGTTCCCAAAAAAATGTATACATACTTTGACTAAATATAAAGGCAGTGTTTGTACTTTGACTGCATTTTCAAACTTCCAGTAGTATTTTAGGATAAATTTCCTTTGTTCAAAGGTTAGTCTGGCTGAAAAGAAAGAAACATCAATGGAGCCATCAGCTGTTGAAGTGTGTATATTCATTTTGGGGACACCCTGTACAAAAGTACAAGAGATTTAATATTAGAATTCATGACGACTTCAGCAAGTGTTATAGATTAAAAACATGATAACCATTCTATTTAGCTTCTCCAAACAAGAGGTGGAGTCTATTTCTCCTCTTGAATATGGGCTGGCCTTGTAACCTCCTTTGTTAAAACAATGCAGGAGAATCAATATTGTGTGGTTTCCAAAGAAGCTTTTGTATGCATGTGTCTGCTTTTGTGCTTGAAATCCTGCCACCTCGCGAACAAGCATGAGGAGAGCCTGCTGATGGATGAGAGACACATAGAGAAAAACCAAAACACTTTTTAATTGCCAGCTTCTAGCCAACCCAGCAGCCAGCAACAGAGATTGAGTGAACCCATAGGAGATTAGACAAGGCTGACTCACAGCAGCAGAACTAAAGTCTCAGCTGAGCCCAGCCCATATTGCCAACCCACAGAGTTGTGAGAGACATAGTTGTCTTAACCCACTATTGTATGGGTTCTTTATAATGCAGCAATTGCTAACTGACGCAGGAAGGTTCTGAAAATAAAGATATTAGAGGGAAAAGGTGAAAATCCTAAAGCATAAAAAAAAAAGACATTTAAAATAGAGCATCGCCCAAACCGGTTTGGCTCAGTGGATAGAGCGTCAGCCTGCAGACCAAAAGGTCCCAGGTTCGATTCCTGTCAAGGGCATGTACCTTGGTTGCAGGCACATTCCCAATAGGAGATGTGCAGGAGGCAGCTGATCAATGTTTCTCTCTCATTGATGTTTCTAACTCTCTATCCCTCTCCCTTCCTCTCTGTAAAAAATCAACAAAATATATTTTTAAAATAAAATAGAGGATGTTTAATAACAAAAATTATTAAGTAGCTTCTGGCTTTTTTGGGAGGAAAGGAAGGAAGAAAAGAAGAAAGGAAAGAAGGAAGGAAGGAAGGGAGGGAGGGAGCAAGGGAGGGAGAGAAGGAGGGAGGGGGAAGGAGGGAGGGAGGGAAGGGAAATGAAGGGGGAGAGAATGAGAGAAGAAAAGAAAGGAAGGGATAAAAACAAACCTAAAAAAGCTTGGTCAATGCAAAAAATCTTATTGATGGCATAGGAAAGCCACCCAGGCAATCAGAATTTGAGAGACCAAGACACTGGTGAAAAGAGTTCACTAGAATGACTGTGGTGTTTTTGGTACTTTTTCCACTGAGGCCAATTTTTAAATTCACAGAGATGATGAGAAACTAACATAGCATGACTACTCTAGATTGCAGAGAAGTAGAATAAAACAGTATTAAAGAGTTACATGGCTGGGGGTGGGGATTGGAGTTTAGGACTACTAAAACATCAGAATTTGAGAGGAAAAGATTACACAGAGAAAAGAACTACAAAAAAGAAAGATCTGGACCAGTTTTACTTCAAGCCATTCAACACTAAGTAAAAGGTGGCTGCTAAGAGAATGGAAAAACTAAGCATAGCTCTCATCAGATTACATGTGAGGGTGAAAAAATAATTACATTTTCTTTATGATTGTGAGGCAGTAGAAAATCCCTAGGCTTTCATTTGTGGCCACAAAAAGCTGTACTTTACAGGTAAGGGCAAACCAGAAATAGAGACCAGGTTTACAGAAACTGAAACCCAGGCTCAAATGAACTTAACTCCTTATTAGATTTAAGTGATGTATCACTATTTTACTTGTCTGCCATAAGCCAATAAAACCTTCTCTGGAGAAAAAGTATCATCTAATTTTATACACAATTCCTAGCATTAAATTAAAAATATCTA